GGAATATCTTACTCTGGGAATTGTACACACAGCGTGATAAAACTTTCATTAAGTAAAAAAACAGTAGAGATATCTACAGAAAAAAAAATGGGTTATTTAGACTGGTGGGATTATGAGTATTTCCAACTTTCTACAATCAGTATGTATTTTTTAATGATTAGAACAGCCCATAAGTGTTATTTAAAAAAGAGAGAGGGAGAGAGATAAAATAACCCATTCTTACTAATACAAAGAGGCTTGTTCTTTTGTGCTTTCCTTTTCATCATGGGGGAGGTGGAGGAGTGGAATTTATTGGTTTGGGGATTGTTTTGAGAATTTCTCTTTTGGATTTTATCTCCACATTCTCGGAAAAACTCTAGGTAAATTTACTACTCAAGCTGCTTTGCTGGTTTATTATTAGACCATCCTCTAAACTTGGCTGGAAATCAAAGGCTCATCCAGATAAGAATCTCCACAATGTGCATTTTCAGAGCAAGTCAGAAGCTGCTTTGTTTTAACACTGGAAGAAAGCTTTTGTCTTTTCAATTTCAAGTGCTCTGCAGTAAACCAACAGTCCATATAAATAATCACAAAAGGGTCAGAGGTTGGTTTGAGCCAGTTTCAGGGGTGGGGGGGAATCACTGTTGAGGAAAAGCAAGTGTTTAAACAATGAGCTGACAGCCGCCGGTCCATTAGATCCCTCCATGGGCCAGCTCCTACTCTTTTCAATTTCACTGTGATCTTCTGTAGATACAACTCTTCATGGCTGAACTGCTGGTGATGAGCTATGTTCCAACAGCATATGCACATATCAGAGCAATACCTTTTATCAGAGGACTCACACATAAAGTCCTTTATAAGGAAGAGAAACAGTGCCAGCTTGGAAAGACAGAAATGTACCTATTTCGAGTTCTTTATAGGTCATTTAAGTAATTGTAGAGTTAGAACTAAAAGTTTGAAATTCTTGATTTATACTATATTCTCCGGGCCATTCACAGGTGTCTCAGGATCCATCTTTAGCTGGAGTTTAATCCAAATAGTTAAAGCTCATACTTTGCTAAATTAAATGCTCATTTAATTTTGGTGTCTGTCTTTTTAAAAAATGACTTTCTGGTGATAGGCTTAAAGAAGCCACATAAAAGAATATTTTCTTCAGCTTCTACTTCAGGGAACTACAGTTTTCTCTTTACTGGGTGGAGTCAGGTGTTCATAAACATTAACGCTTGGAACAGCCCAGGGGTTTGGTCCAGGGTTTTGCTGGAGAAGAGTAAAAAGTCGTAGGTGAAGACAAGCCTTTGCTTCTTTGTGTCAAGGTTTTTCCTCACCTTTGATTTGATTCTCTGCCAAGTTGCATCTTTCCTTTTAGTCCCTTCGAATGTCTTCCTATGGGATCTCCGGTTTAGATTTTTGGTTTGACCCCACTGCTTGCCCTGACCACATCTCAGATCTTCCAAATCTTAACTGCTTATTCAGTTCTTAACCCTATTACCTCCTCTCATCTCGGATCCTTAATAACTGCACCATAACTTTAACCTGCAGCCATCTGTGCCCAGGCTGAACTTAACTAGCTCTGCCAGTTTGAACTGAGCAGTCGATTCGACCAAACAATCAATTCAATTTACATTCCCCAAATCAGTCACACTAATTCTTCAATTCAATGGATTTATTTTTTTCATAATTAATGAGTGAATTTTTTATGTGATAAGTAATCAAGTCAAAACAGAAAACTGGCCATGTTTCCAATAACATCTTGTTTTTTAGCCTTTTATTCCCCTGTAAGAATACTGAGTCATGCCCTGGTTGGTTTGCCAAATGGTTAGAGCATTGGCCTACAGACTGAAGGACCACTGGCTCAATTCCCAGTCAAGGGAATGTACCTTGGTTGCAGGTTCAATCACAGTCTCGGTCAGGGTGCAAGTGTGAGGCAATCAATTGATGCGTCTCTATCGCATTGATGTTTCTCTCTCTACCCCTCCCCCTCCCTTCTGCTCTCTAAAAAACATTGGAAAAAATATCCTCACCCCTTGAGTGAAGATTTTTTAAAAAAGGATATTGAGTCAATTTGATAGGGGTAGGGAATACACATTGAAATTTCTTAAAAATGAATTTAGAGAGAGGAACGGGGAGAGAGAGAAACTGATGTGAGAGAGAAACATCCATCAGTTACCTCCCACACACTCCCCAACCAGAGATTGAACCCACCACCTCCTGGTTCATGGGACAACACTCTAACCAACTGAGCCACACTGGCCAGGGTTGGAATAAACATTTGGAAAAAGGTTTTTATTGGAGAGAGAGAGAGAGAGAGAGAGAGAGATCATCAATGAGAAAGTACCATGGATTGGCTGCCTACTGCAACCCCATACTGGGGATTGAGCCCAACCCGGGCATGTGCCCTTACCGGGGATCTAACTGGTGACCTCTTGGTGTATGGGATGATGCTCAACCAACTGAACCACACCAGCCAGGGCTTAGTTTTAATTTCATAGTTTAAAACTTCATAGTTTGACCCCAAAGCAGAAAGAGGCTGCCTCATTTTATCAGGTTAAGTGGAAAATAGCAGCCAGTACTTTACTATGGACATCAAAGGAGACTAATATTGATGCTCTGAGGCCTGCAGTAAGTAATTTCTCCATTATCTAAAACCCTCCATCTAAACCTCAGTGTGCATCTTCTATTCCATTTAGTAGTTATTGCTGTTTAGGCTCTTCTTCCTCAGGACTAGTGTAAACGCTTTGAGATTGGGCATGTCCCACTCATATCTGTACCTTTTACAATATCTGGTACCAAATCCAGTGCCCAGTAAGTCCCCAACATGAATTCATGGTTAACCTGAAGAAGGAAAAGGCTTACACTGAAAAGTATAGATTCATGCAGCTATTTTTTAGGTGGTAAGTATTTATATAACACAGGCATGAAGGAGGGTGTAAATAATACCTTAGCGACAGTACCTCAAAAGAACCTCAGGGGGGCCTTTAACCACTCAGAATAGATTGATGTCGTATCACCTTAAAAAACGGGAAAGAAAATCAAAATAGGTTTACTATTCAAACAGCCACTTTAAAAGTTACAGCTGCTACTGAAAAAAATCCAACAAAATATTTCTATCCAAAAAAAAAAAAAAAAATCACAAGGCATTGGGTGGCAAAATAACATCAAAAGATTCACTAGACTTGCTTAATCCATCCACAATGAGATGAGCTTTTATCTGGACGTGGAAGCATCCAGCTTTCTCTGTATCAGACAGAAACATTCAATCCAATGAGATACATGCACACACTGCATTTGGTGTCCATAAATAAAGATTTATTGGAACCCAGCACATCCATGTGCTTACAGATTGTCCGTGACCTCTTTCACACTATCATGGCAGAATTGAGTAGTTGTGGGAGACCATATGGCCTGCAAAGCCTAAAACATTTATTATCTGGCCCTTTATGGGAAAAGTTCAGTAACCCCTGTATTGTATTGTTAATGACATATGTATTTATTTATTTTTAAAATATATTTTTATTGATTTCAGAGAGGAAGGGAGAGGGAGGGAGAGATAGAAACATCAATGATGAGAGAAAATCATTGATTGGCTGCCTCCTGCACGCCCCCTACTGGGGATTGAGCCTGCAACCCAGGCATGTTCCCTTGACCTGAATCGAACCCGGGACCCTTCAGTCCACAGGCCGACGCTCTATCCACTGAGCCAAACCAGCTAGGGCTGACATATGTATTTAAACCCAGAAAGAGGATATGTTTAGATCAGCCATGAGCAAACTACGGCTCGCGGGCCGGATCCGGCCCGTTTGAAATGAATAAAACTAAAAAAAAAAAAAAAAGACCGTACCCTTTTATGTAATGATGTTTACTTTGAATTTATATTAGTTCACACAAACACTCCATCCATGCTTTTGTTCCGGCCCTCCCGTCCAGTTTAAGAACCCATTGTGGCTCTCGAGTCAAAAAGTTTGCCCACCCCTGGTTTAGATAGAGGCTGGAACTTCATGTAACTTTACATCTGAAAAACAAACAAACTCCTATGGAGATACGAAGATGCACTTACCTCCATGCACACACATATGGTGCATACAGATGACCTGTAAGGGCAGCTAATACAGCTCATGGATGCTTTTGCTAGAAGAGTAAATTCACATATTACCTGGAGAGCTACTTATGAGAGGAGGTTAGCCTTTGAAACAGACTCCTGGTGGATTTTGTTTGTTTTCTTTATGATTGGAATAGATGGGCTGCATTTGACTGAGCTACTTCACAACATTCTAGACCTATACAACAACAAGAAGAGCCAAGGTTAAGTCTTTCCAAATTTAAATATATTGAATGCCACCAGTACTAATGAGAGCCTACTTATTCTTAGAAACTTGCAACATTAACAAAACATTGCAGTCTCCTTGACACCATCTCACTCCCGTATCCCAGAATACATGCTAGGTTGTATGTTTTCTGAATACTTGAGGACTTGGCCAGAGAGAAAATAGAGCACGCATAGGAAAGTACAGTGTTGAATTTCCTGGTTATGCCATTCTTATTTTAGACAACTCAAGTGTAAATGCAATCCTGACCTTTAAACATCCACACGATGATGTGTGAAAAATATATAAAAAAGCAATAAACAACCAGCCAAGCATTATATTTCTAATTTAGTTTACTTCTGTCTTATAGCATGTTGATTTGCTAAATATAATTTGTAGCATTGCTACTGTGCAGAAAGCCACTGCCAACAAGCAGGCTGAGTAAAACTGTCCTGTAAAATCTCTTTCACAGAGAAACAAATACATTTTAAAAAATTTTACTTGTTGAATGCATGAATGATCCTAAGAATAAAAACAACTAGTGTTATCCTATATAATAAAAGGCTAATATGCAAATTGTCCCCACAGGTGGGAGTTCGACCTACCAGGAGTTAGACATGCGCTGACCACCAGGGGACGGCATGGAACATGGCGGGTGTCAGTGACGTGGCGCTGGCAGCGGGCGGCAGTGGAGGTGCTGCCAGTCCTGATGGGCCCTGATGAGAGTGGGACCACTGTCGGATGATGGAGCAGGTGAGCGGGTGGCACCAGGCCAAGGAGGGTGTGAAGGGAGGCCCCGGCCGGCAGCGGTGGCAGGCAGCTGGGGAAGGAAGGCCCTGGCTGGCAGCCAGCAGCTGCTAGGGAACCTAACCATGCACAAATTTCGTGCACTGGGCCTCTAGTATAATATATAAATCAGTGGATAATATGGAATACTAGCTATTTTTATTGGAATTTTATCATGTTTGAATATTGTGATGTCTCTGTGGGACCCAATTACTTAAGAGGCAAAGCAAGTGACCATGGGAAAGAAGGAAGAGAAACACTCTGTTGTTCATGGGGTGAGGAAGGAAGTTTATGCCTGTAGGGCTCTGGACAAAGTGCTCCTAGAGAGCATTTCTTCTGCCACAGACACTGTGGTTGATTGAAAAAAAACAAAAAGTCACAAATTGCTCCCATCTTCATATGTATGCCCTGTTAAAGAGAAAACCACAGGTCCAAAATGGCGTCACTTGTGCTAAGGCTTAAGATACCAAACATATCTATATAATAAAAGTCTAAGTGACCGTTACAGCAGAACAACCAGAATGACCGGTTGCTATGATGCGCACTGACTACCAAGGGGCAGACACTTAATGCAGGAGCTGCCCCCTGGTGGTCAGTGGGCTCCCACAGTGAGAGTGCCACTCAGCCAGAAGCTGGGCTCAGGACTGGCAAGCACAGTGATGGTGGCGGGAGCCTCTCCCACTTCTGCAGCAATGCTAAGGAACAGCGAGCTGAGCAGTAAGGAGCAGTGAGCAGGCGGGCGGTAAGGAGCGAGGGGTCCTGGACAGCAAGAGGGATGTCCGACTGCTGGCAGGCTTAAGCCGGCAGTCGGACATCCCCCAAGAGGTTCTGGACTGTGAGAGGCTACAGGCCAGGCTGAGGGGACCCCTCCCTCTCAGTGTATGAATTTCATACACCAGACCTCTAGTCCTGTCTAATAATAGACAAACATGGTAATTGACCATACCTCCGCTATGCTTCCCATTGGCTAATCAGCAGGATATGCAAATTAACTGCCAACAAAGATGGCGGCCAGCAGCCACGCAGCTGAAGCTAACATGAGGCTTGCTTGCTCCAGTGATGGAGGAAGCCAAGGTTCCCTGCCTGCCATGGCCCAGCTCTGAGCTCTGGAAGCAACAATGTTTCAATTATAGAAGCCAAACAAACCCAGATACCTGCTTTCAGCCAGCCATAGCCTCAGAGCTGGAGACGTGCCTCAGAGTTGGAGCTGGCTCTCAGCTCCAGTGACAGCTATAGAAGGTAAATAAATCCCAGAATTAAAAAAAAGAAAAAAAAAGAGGCTGGGAGCTTCGGTCGCCCACCAGCCTGAAAACAGCCCTCAGCCCCTCACCCAGGCTGGCCAGGCACCCCAGTGGGGACCCCCACCCTGAAGGGGGTGTGACCAGCTGCAAACAGCCATCAGCCCCTCATCCCAGCTGGCCAGGCACCCAAGCGGGACCCCCACCCTGATCCGGGACACCCTTCAGGGCAAACCAGCCAGCCCCCACCCATGCACCAGGCCTCTATCCTATATAGTAAAAGGGTAATATGCAAACTGACCCTAACAGCAGAAAGACTGGGAATGACTGGTCACTATGACACACACTGACCACCAGGGGTCAGATGCTCAATGTAGGAGCTGTCCTCTGGTGATCAGTGTGCTCTCGCAGGGGGAAGCTCTGCTCAGCCACAAGCCAGCCTGATGGCTGCCAGTACAGCAGTGGTGGTGGGAGCCTCTCCTGCCTCCTCAGCAGCGCTAAGGATGTCTGACTGCAGCTTAGGTCTGCTCCCCGCTGGCAAATGGACATCCCCCGGGGGCTGCTGGGCTGCCAGAGGGATGTCTGATTGCCAGCTTAGGCCCGATCCCCCAGGGAGCAGGCCTAAGCCAGCAAGTGGTCACCCCCGAGGGGTCCCAGACTGCGAGAGGGCACAGGCTGGGCCGAGGGACCCCCCTGAGTGCACAAATTTTTGTGCACCTGGCCTCTAGTATTTAATACCTGATCTAACTGCTATTTCAACCTCTCCCAGAAACCTAATCTTAATCAACCAGTCTGGAATTTTGTGGCTAACAGGTAATCTGTCATGTGGGCTCTCTCCATCCTCCATAGAAAGAATAGGCAATCTGCATGATAAAAACCCTTGCTGTTCTCTTCCCCCTCCCTGCCCCCCACATGAAGATGTTCTGGTCTAAAAATAATCCTTTCTTCCCCCCACCAATAGTTCCCTTGATCTACTCTTCTATAAAAACTTTCCATTTGTACCACCCCTAGGAGTGCCCTTCTATGGGATGCTGCCCATTCATAAATTGCTGCAAATTAGAGCTTCAGATTTACTCGGTTGAATTTTGTTCTTTATCAGTCATTTGCATATTGACTGTGCTGCCCCTCCCATCAAGAGGTGGAGTCTGTTTTCCCACCCTTTGAATCTGGACTTAGCCATGGGATAGTAGCACACATGACACAAGCAGAATCTTGAATAGCCCCTGCCCTTTGTAATCTGCCCTCTCTTGGTGCTCTTTGCAACTCTGAGTCCACCACGTGAAGAAGCCCAGGCTAGCCTACTGGATTCTATAAAGCAGAGATGAACCTTCCCATCTGTGGCCCCCCCTTACACCAGCTACCCTGCCAGCTACCAGACACGTGGGTAGGTAGCTCAGACCAGAAGAAACTTTCAGCTGACCCACAGAAACAAGAGAATTAATACATGCTTATTGTTTTAAGCTACTAAATTTTGGAGTGACTTGTTATCCAGAAAAATCAGGAGGTGCCATGGTAGTGGACCCTGAGTGGTTCCTACATTGGGGATCCACTCATACTGCTCTTGCCCAGAATTTGCCTGATGGTGAAGACCATTACATCCAAGTCCAATGAAGGTTGCTGGGCTACATGCTGATTACTGGGGCTTGTTTATGAGGTCCAGGGTTACCCTAGGAAACATGGGATAAGGAAAAGTTTTAGGAGACCTTCTTGGGCTGGCAGCCACCTCTCCGAAGGTTCTTATAAATTGTGATTCTTTTGGGTTTCTTGCTGGTCTGCTGGAATGATTCAGGTGTATGAAATTGGGGAAGACCCTGGAAATACCCCACCAGTTGAGTTCTTTTTACTCCACCGCCTCTAAGGTCTTCTGGCATTTACATTCCTGGATTTGTCCTGACTCTAGTGAGAATCTTTGGGATAGTCACAGAAGCTCCAAGGACAGGGACAGGGCCAGACATCCACACTATAGGCTCAGGGGGTGGGATGGTGTCAAGCTGTCTGGAGGCAAACTATATTCATAAAGAGCAGGTTTAGCACTCCTCAGAGGACAGGCAATTTCATTGAGGGCCTGGGTTCTAGATTGCATTTGGCCACAAGTTATCTCTACATCCGTGGCAAATAAAATAACCTCACTTTTCCAGGTCTCACTTTCCAAATCTATGAAGTGGGAAAAATTGTGTTGGATGGTATTTACTGTCTTTGCCGGATTCGGCAGTCTTTGAGAATTATCTCCCAGACTTTGCACCCCATCCTTCTCCATCCCTCATTTCTTTTTTTAAAAAAATATTTTTGTTAGATTTCAGAGAGGAAGAGGGAGATAGAAACATCAATGACAAGAGAGAATTATTGATCGGCTGCCTCCTGCACTCCCCACACTGGGAATTGAGCCTGCAACCCAGGCATGAGCCCTGACTGGGAATCGAACCGTGATCTCCTGGTTTATAAGTCAATGCTCAACAATTCAGCCACGCCAGCCACGCTCCATCCCTCATTTCTTTTGACTTTGCACTGTCATCCCATCACCCAGAGTTATGTTTCTGAGGGAGAAGTGAGGCAGGTCCTTTTCAGGATGAGGACAAGAGCCGTGCACACAGACTCTACTCAGAGCTCATCTAACTGAATGTTAAGTGACTTCTCCTAGGGGAACATTAGTGAGGGTTTGGTCAAAAAGGACTTTATAGAGTTATTGTTGGAGGAGGGAGAGGGAGCAGCCCAAGAAGAATCCTGGAAGAGGATCAAATAGACTACTCTCAGTTAATACTGTATGGGTTATGTTTTGCTTTTTAATGGGGTAAGGGAACAAGGGAGTAAAAAAACCAACCCAACAATTAGAAAACATCACAATTTCACTCAGGGCTTAAGTATTTTATACTGAATGCTTACAAATTAGTCCCTGTTCAAGACCCAACCAATGACTTCCCATTGAATAAAATTCTTACTAGTCCCAATAGTCTAAATAGTCCATTGCTTTGGAATGGCATTTCTTGCTACCTCAACTCCCAACAGTCTTTCCGTTGCTCCACCTTACTTGCTGTTCCTGGCCTACAGCAAGACTGTTCCTACCTCATGGCCTTTTCCCTGCCTCTTCCCTGTGGCTGGAATGTTCCAACCCCAGGTCTTCATGTGAGTTACGACTCTACTGGGAACTAGGACTTTTCATGTTCTCCAGAATGTCCTAATGTGCAGACAGGGCTGAGAGTAACTGAGCTAGAGTGTCATTTAAGCTCAAAGCTCCTTAGACTTAAAATATGGGTGTAAACCACCTGGGAATCTTATTCCAATGCACATTCTGATTCAAGAGTGGCGAGGGGCTCGAGATTCTGCATTTCTAACAAACTTCCAGGTGATGCTTACACCCTCATTCCAATGGTGAGGTCCCTAAGGTCAGGGAATATACCCCAATTTGTGCCAACTGTGAAGTAGACACCCCATGAAAGCTTCCCAGTTGCTACAACTTCCTTGTACGGCCCATGACACCACCAGTGGGTTCTGAGGACCTAAAATAAGATGGGAAATGTCACTTTGTCAAGATGTCAGGCTCTGTAATGTACATATGGATGTTATAGAAGGACTTTGCATTGGGTAAACATTTGGTATTAAATCTTTACATTCTACAGCCATCATGATTTTATTCTGAAAAAAACAAAGCTTTCACCTCTCCTGTTGTGATAAAAATGGGCTCTTGTTCTTTAAATCCTTCCCCATGGCTATTATTACCCCCTCAGTTTTGCTGGGTTTGACATGGAGTGAGGTAGACTTCAGTTAGAGAGATTTTGTGAGGGGAAAAATGAGAAAGTAACGACGCTGCTTTTTTTTTTTTGGTCTCCAGTATCCTCTGTATGGTCATAAATAGCACCAATTTCTGATATCCATACCACATAACTAGATTTCCAAGTCTCTGTTCTGTCAACAACTTCATCAATTGCTTTTATAGCATTTTATTCTCAAGTCTTCTTTGTGCCACTTTATACATCTTCCCTGCCCAGAGTTTCCTCACCCAAAAGACATCCCTTAGGCACCCCATTTAGTCACCCGCTAAATCCAAAATGAAGTTGCCCCTGGTCTTGCCCCATCTTCCGCCAGCAGAGAAGAGAATCTAATTTCAGGGGCTGCATCTCCTCTCCTCCCCAGAGTATAAGAGAATGGAATTTCTTCCTAACGAGGTTAACAGGGATATTGTGGTTTCAGGGTCCGCTGACAGGCGGAAGATTTATCTTCTCCACTCTTTTTCCTGACTCTGAAGAGAATTGCAGACCTGGAATCTGTAGTGCCTCTGGGTCACTTGGTAATTTAAAATTGATGACTTGGAAAGAGGATGGAGATAAAGACGCTGTCCTGGGATGTGTCCTTTTATAGAGAGGCATTGTAATTTGGGGGTGATGTTCTCTCATGCAACTCGCTTGAAAGAGATCACTGTGGTTTCCGGGATGTACTTCGATCAATGACTTAATCAGCCAGACACTTGTGGTCACCCTCTCTAAGTGGAGAGACAAAGATGTACAATTTTCTGATTAGAAAAGGGGAGCACGAGGTTGCTAATTAAAATCTTAAAAGCACGATAGTGTATGATTCCATTCTGTCATGCTCAAAACCACACAAAACTACTATGCTGTTAGAAGTCAAGATAGGTATTGTGCAGGGCTATCAACTTTTCAATATGTTTGAAAACTATCATAATAAAACGTTGGAATTTAAAAAAAAGGTATTGTGTTAGTGACTGGCAAGGAATATAATGGGTGATTTCTGGGTGTCTGGTAATATTCTCTTTCTTGATTTTTTTACTTGTTTGTTTTCACTTTGTGAAATCGATACACACTTATGATTTGTGCACTTTTTGTATACTACACTTCATTACAAAGTTTATCAATAAATATCTGCCAAATATAAACACTCTTTTCAATCAAGTTTTCTGCTTATGAATAAATAGTAAGTTCAAGAAATCAGGCCGAACCGGTTTAGCTCAGTGGATAGAGCGTCGGCCTGCGGACTGAAGGGTCCCAGGTTCGATTCCGGTCAAGGGCATGTACCTAGGTTGCGGGCACATCCCCAGTAGGGAGTGTGCAGGAGGCAGCTGATCGATGTTTCTCATCGTTGTTTCTGGCTATCCCTCTCCCTTCTTCTCTGTAAAAAATCAATAAAATATTTTTTTAAAAAAAAGAAATCAGTGACTGGTCCTAGCTGGTATAGCTCAGTGGATAGAGCGTCAGCCAGTGGACTGAAGGGTCCTGGGTTTGATTCTGGTCAATGGCGCATGCCCCAGTTTCAAGCTCCATCCCCAGTAGGGGGCATGCAGGAGGCAGCTGATCAATGATTCTCACCATTGACATTTCTATGTCTCTCTCCCTTCCTCTCTGAAATCAATAAAAAATATACTTTAAGAAAAGAAAGAAATCAGTATCTGAAAATGTATTTGAAAATCAGTTGTTCAATTAAAGGACAGATTCCCTTTCTTCCAAAATTAACATTTCCCGCTCAGCCAGTAGTGCCACATGTCAGTCCCCTTCCTAATTCTAACAGCTTTGCTTTGATTGTGCTGGAAAAGCCATGACAGAGGGAGCTGTAATGTTAACAGTCTTTATCTTGCTGATGAATTGCATCTTAGACACACGCCTGTGTTGAAATATGCACCCTTCCATCACTGTTCATCACTGAAATGCCCCAGATCTCCATGACAGCGCTCACCATCAACACCTGCAGGACAAGATGAGGGACCCTTGTGATAAAGCCTAGTGCTTCCTAGATACTAATTAAGTCTCCACACAATGGATCTGGCTTTGCTTACCAAGTTAAGGAATGAATCAAAATGTGGAGACAGATTAATACTGGTGCCTGCTTTAATCCCTCGGAACAAACCGGATACAATAAATGAATTCTTGTTTTTCCCCCTCCCTGTTGTAAATGTATTGATTTAATTTCTGGAATGGGTATACCTTCACGTGGCTTATGAATCACAAAGTGCAAATAGTATACAGGAAATGGTATTTCTCCCAGCTCTGTCCTCCATCAGCCAGTGTCCACCCCCCACAACACTGTTGATATTGTCTTTGTGTCTTCCAGAGACAATTAGTGTATACGCAAATAAAATTTGCAAACACCAATAAGAGGAGCCTATCAGGCCTCTCAGATCACTAACAAATCCCTGTTTTAAGACCTTGCCACTCCAAGCGTGGTCCATAGGCCGGCAGCATCAGCTTCGCTTGGGAGATGGTTAGAAATACAGACTCTCAGGCCCCAGCCCAGACCCATGAATCAGAATCTGTGTTTTAACCGGATCTCCAGGGCATTCATAGCACTTAAAGTGAAGTGTGAGAAACAGTGCTTTAGGAGAAAGGGACCTTAAGAGGTGACAAGATCAGTGAGTTACAAAGGCACGTGATTTGTCCCCAAGGAGTTCTTTGTTCTTTGGAGAAGTTAAGTTAATGGACTCTCATTATCCTTGTCACAAATTCCTCAGAGATTTTTCTCTTGTGTATCTATAAAATGCTGTGCAATTGTCTGAAAAAGACATTTGTGGCTCTCTAAACACTTTCCCTGTCTCCTCTTTCTCTAGTATTTGAGGACTTTCACCTGAGCACCTCTCAACCACAATGTTTATGACACAGCACCAACAAGGAGTTAGTTGGCCCCAGAGCCTGCCTATCAGGAGAATTTGGTAAGTTGCTGGCTTCCTAGTCATTTCCCCCCAAAACTCCCTTTCTTGCTCCACCCCCCCCCCTTTCATTGCTGACCCTACTTGCCCTCCTTTATGTTTTGGCCCAGTGCCCTCAGTTGGAGGCAGCACCAAAGCTCTTCTCAGCCATCATCTTCCTCAACCTTCATCATTTATCTGGGTGGTTTCTCTTAGGTTTAGGGATCCTATGCACAGTCCTTAGACATTTTGTCCTGTTCTAAGTGAGGATTTGGAGCCAGGGAGTTATCAGCATGAGAAACAAGGGAAAGAAAATGCTTTAAATCCTCATTGCTTCTTAGAATAAGAACGAAATGATACTCTGTATAACTGTTAGTGAAGAAAAGACATTCCATGGGATGGTTACCTCTTGCATTGACATGTGACCTTTTTGCTAGTCAAGTCTGTTGGTGTGAGGCATCTTTTTGCCTTGGTTTCTCCAAGAAGGGACATACTGAAATGTGATACACTTTCTTTCCCCTACTTTTCTAAGTTCTTTCCTCGAGAGATATTAGCCATGAAACACACCTTTATACTACTTAACCGCTCACCTCTCTTCTAGATTTCCTTCACTGCAATTTACAACCATTAGGCATCTGTCACAGTCTGATGCTGAGGATCTTTTCTAACGATTTAAGACATTTTACAAGTTTTATTTGATTGTGGTAAGAACACTTACCAGGAGGTCTACTCCCTTAACCAATTCTTAAGTGTAAGATACATTATTGCTGACTATAGGTACAACATTGTACAACAGCTCTCTAGAGCTTATTCATCTGGCCTGACTGAAACTTTATGCCTGTCAAATGCATTTTCATTAAATTATAAATGCAAAAAAGTACACATATCGTAAGTCTACAGCTCAGTGAGGTTTCAAAAACTGATTGCACCCATGAAACCAGCAACCAGGTCAAAAAACAGTATTTCCAGTACCTCAGGAGTACTCTCGTGCCTCCTGTGTAGTCACCACATGCCTCCACAGGCAACCACTACCTTGACTTCTAACAGCATATTAAACTAACATTTGTATGTTTGATTTAAGTGGCATCCTACAGTATTTGTACTCTTGCACCTGGCTTCTTTCACTCAGTATTATGGTTGTGAGATCCAACTATATTGGGTGTAAAGTTGGAGACCATTCGTTCTCATCGCTATATATTTTATTCATTTTCCTATTGATGGTTGTTTGGTGGTTTCTTGTTTGGGGCTAATATGACTAGCACGGCTATGAAAATTCTTTCACATGTCATTTCATGAAAACGCATAAGCTACCCTGTGGGGTACATACCAAAGATGAAAATTGCTGGGAGATGCTGCTTTATAATGTATCAAGGCTGATGAGTCTGTGCACATCAACGCCAAAGAAGTAAGGTATATGATTAGATAGGTATGCATGCATTCCAACACTCAAGCATTAGACTAGGAGCTGAAATCTTTTCTCCCCCGTGTGAAAAAGGAGCTTTCTGCCTACTAGCAATTTCTGAGCTACCGCCTTATTCGAGACTTCTAAGGATGCAGTGTTGATTGCTTTCGTTTATTTTATGATTTTAATGAGAGCAGCTCAACTGCTGCAATTGCTTTTCCAAGCATGACACATCCTGGCTCCATAGTGAGAACTGAGTCAATTCTCAGCTGTGTGCCAGCGGCAGCAAAAAAAAAAAAAATTGCTATTCATGATTTTCTGCTTTTGAATCTCTATCCTTGTGGGTAAATAGTGGAGGCAGGACAAGCCATAAGCAGAGGAGGTGGTTGTTTGCACGCTGTCATTGTAAGCCCTGCCCGGCCCTAAATAGCTCTGCCATAAATGCCCTCTTCCCAGAGGATCTAGAACCCCCACCATTTAAGCTAGCATTTTAGGTTAGACCACCGAGGCAGGGGACATGCCTCTGGAGGACTACTGCTGAACTCTACCAGTTCCTTGCAGGGAGGGACAGGGTCTTTAACTGTCTCCCAGAGGGTTAATAAGTCATAAACTTGGCAGTGAAGAGAAGTCAGTGCTTGGGGCACGTGAATAGAGGGTTACAGGGAGGCAGCAAGGCTAGGATACTGCAGCAGTGAAGGAAAAGAATCTTGGGGAAAATCTAGGCTTTGAGGGCATTCATGCAGAGGCCCATCAGACCACCTAGAAGGCAGGGTTGGGCTTAAAAGAACACCCAGGAGCAAAGTGTCTGCTGAGAAGTCACTTGGATCCTCAATGGCCTGTTCCACAGATTCTCTGATTTAATCAGAGGTTTTAAAAATATTTTGATCCTCATATTTAAAAATCTTTGCTATTTGTACATTTCCTTATTATGCTAATCTTATTTGGGTATATTTTTGGGACTTCCTGTGGGAGAGGGTAATGGGGCCATAATTTGATGCTTTAGTCTCAGCTCCAGGCTGTTCAAGATTTTTTTCTGTTAAAATATTTTTCTCAATATTCATACATATACATTATATATCTAATATTATATACATATATGAATATTATGTGTGTTTATAAATACAGTTTGAGAGCTTTAAGTTCTATCATAATGGCGATTTTTCGGGAGAGGAGACACGTTCTTAAAGATTCACCCACACCGAACAGACTTTAAAAATCTTTATTGCTTTTCTGATTGTAAAATAATGAATACTCATAAGAAATTCACGATTTACAGAAATAAAGAAAGTAGAAAGTGAAAGCCCTGTATACCTGCAGTGTATGTTAAAGATATAGTAGGAGTTAGGGACATATGTTGTGCATATTTTCTGATAACAAAGGGCATATTTTTTAAAAAAATTATCCTATTTCTTTTAAAAAAATATATTTTGTTGATTTTTTACAGAGAGGAAGGGAGAGGGATAGAGAGTTAGAAACATTGATGGGAGAGAAACATCAATCAGCTGCCTCCTGCACACCTACTGGGGATCTGCCCGTAACCAAGGTACATGCCCTTGAGCGGAATTGAACCTGGAACTTTTCAGTCCACAGGCTGACGCTCCATCCACTGAGACAAACTGGTCAGGGCCTGACTATTTCTTATACAACATTAAGTTCACAAATTAAATACATTCCCTATAGTAAATGTCCTGCTTCTTAATGGAATGTGGTGGGCCTTCTGGGGAATAGAACAAAGCCTGACTTTTCCCTTTGCTGCTTCCTGGCTCCTTCTCCAACTTCCACCAAGATTTATGAGACACACAGAGAGAGAGACTATATGAGACAACTCCACACATGCAGAGACTTTAAAAAATATCCACAAAAGCTTGTACAAGAATGTTTATAATTTTTATTCATAATAGTCCCAAACTGGAAATGACCCAAATTTCCATCAAGAGGCAAATAGATAAACAATTGTGGTGTATTCATACAATGGAAAACTCCTCAGGAATAAAAGGGAACAAGCTACTGATCATGCAACATTATGAGTAAATCTCAAAAATGTTTTGTTGAGCAAAAGAAGCCAGAATCAAGAGTACATACTGTATGATTTAATTTATGTGCAATTCTAAAATAGTCTAATCCAATCTATGCTGATAGAGATCAGAATGCTTGACTGGGATGGAGATAGAAGAGGTGGGGGAGTGGGTAGGGATTGGCTACAGGGGGCACAAGGGACTTCCTATGATAATGGAAATGTTCCTATTTCAAATGTTTTCATGGGCATATACATTTGTCAAAATTCATCATTGTCTCTTATGATCTGTGACTTTTATTGCATATACATTATACTTCAACAAAAATAATTTGAAAAGAATCCCATAGTTTTGTGAGAGGGGGCATGTAGCACATGGCTCCGTCATCTGGGATATGCTCCCTACTTCAGCTGCAGCTGTGGGGACAGTACTGACTCACCTCTCACTGCTTCTCTCTTCTGTCTCAGGCCTTCTCCAAGGCCATGAACACGCTGAACCCACACTAAGGCACTACCTGTGAGTGATCATCTCAGGGAGCCACCCTTAAGCAATGGGGAACAAGAGTTCACAGATAAAAACTCCAAACCGTCAGGTGGAAAGTTCCGGAAGGTCTTCTATAGGCTGCTCAGTGGTCTGCATGCAATCTAGTCCCTGCAAGCTGAATAAAGCTCCCTTACACTGGTTATTTATTCTTCCATATCTTATACTTATTTAACTTTCACTCATGCACTTTGGGGTCCCCTCTCAAATTAACGACCTGCACCCCCATCTCAAGCTTTGCTTTTAGAGAATCCAAAACTGAGAAAGGCAACACAGTGGACAGGGGAGGAAGATGCTATAGTCCTTACTCCAGCATTCCTCTGCTTCCTTATTCCTTTTTCTCTCCCCTCTCATTTCAACAGTATATATATATATATAATTTTAATTTTTTTATTGAGTTCAGAGAGAGTGAGAGGGAAAGAGGGATACATCAGTGATGAGAGAATCATTGATCGGTTCCCTCCTGCGCACCACCTACTGGGGATCAAACCGGAAACCCGGGCATGTGACCTGACCGGGAATTGAACCATGAACTCCTGGTTCATAGGTTGGAGCAACACCGGCCAGGTTCTATGACTACATTTTAGGAAAATAGAAGGGAAGGAAAATTATTTAAAGGAGGATTAGTAAGAGAAATCTAGGACAAAAGGAGTAAAGGAGAGATGGTTTTATATATATATATTCCCCATAAAAGCACCATAATCTAATTTTAGAACATTTTCATCACCCCAAAGAAAACCTCATACTTATCAGTAGTTAATCACTCTTCCATCCCTCCACTTGTCCCTGGTTCCTTCACCCCCAGCCCCTAGAAATCATTAATCTACTGTCTCTACCGATTTGCAGATTCTGGATATTTCATATAAATTTTAATTAGCCAAAAAATGGAAACAACCCAAAGGACCATCAAAAGATAAATGAATAAACAAATTGTAATATACACATACAATGGAATATTACCCAGCTGTGAAAAGCAATGATGGTCCCATACATGCTACAACATGAATAGATCTTTACAATATTGTAATAAATGAAAGAAGCCAGTCATAAAAAGACCACATAATATG